GCAGAGGTCACCTCTTTGTTCCTCTAGCTTTGGAGTTATATGGCGCTATGGACACTACTTTGACATGTTCGTGAGGGAGTGCGCAAGAGCCTACCATACAAGGCGACATGGGGTGTCACTCTCTTTAGCTTATTGTATAGCCTATTTTAGACAACGTGTTTTTATTGCTCTACAAAGAGCACTAGCTGGTGCAATCGATAGGAGAACAATCATGTTAGGTGATGCTTCTTTGGATGCTCCTTTTGTTTGTAGACCTTTTGACCTAGATAGTTCAGATATCTTAGGTTCTGTAGGACATATTTCCGAGTGTGATACTATTGGGGCCTAGCCCCATGTTACCGGTTTGGTTCCATCCTTGTATGCTTTGATGGGGTCTTCCCATCCCTTTTGTTATTATACTTTGTTTTCATATGCGGTGTCTGCTATGCGCATATGAAATTGTGGGAAGACGGCGGTCAAGGTTGGTCAACGTCCACCTCCTCACATCGGGCAAAAAGGTACTTAGCACTTGCTTGTCAAATCTTCTAATCTAGCATGTCGTCCTATATCTACCTCGTGCAACTGTTGTTTCAACCTCCACAATTATGTCTAAAGTCGCTCTAACTTATGTGTCAACTGCAAAACCAAAGAAAGTGACTCTCCTCCACCAACCTTTGAAGCTTTCACCTTAGGTCGCGATGACTTTGGTACATGACTTCTCGGTTTAGCAATCTCCTTCAACTTCCTTTTCTTACTCACGGATTTTTAAATTACTTCCACACTTAGACTCTGAACTTGCTACTCCGAATTTTGTATTGAATCCTCTCCGTCCGAATACTTTCTTCTCTATTTCTCGCATTACTTCATTCAATTCATCAAAAGTCATCTCGTCCATGTCTACCACATGTATTCTCATTTTTTCTCCTCTACTCGGACCCAAAGTCATAGTTGAACCACTACTTGCTACATCCATATTCGGCTTACTCAATATATCCTCTATATCAAACTGATACTTCTTCTTCTCTTTTGGAGTCAACCATCCCATTCTAGAGTACATGTGTACTAGGAATGAAGAGACAGAGAGATGAATCCTTTCTTCCTTGCTCGGAGCTTATCCCCCATTGCCTACACATTTCTTGTGAAGATCTCTCCCTAGTTCACTTTGATCGATCTTCCTACAAAGCCTTCAACAATTCTCATCTTGTGCATGCTTACGTAGATAGTTTGATGCGACGAGAAAAACTGATTCAAAGTATACATGATCTTTTTCCTTAGATCATCTTTAATTATATCAATCTTGAACCCGTTGGTTCCTTTCCTCTCCCAAGGATAAAATCACTTCGTCTCAATAAAGTCGAACCTTGTATACATAGCTGACCCTTGTTAATCAATGTCATCTTTCTCCTTCATATAGTCTCTTCCTAATGCCTAAGCCCACAAGATCTCATCCCACATATCTAGATGTATTCTTAGGCCGATAGGATTTGCTACATTCTTGATTCAAACTTCCTTACATAATTCCGGACATACGTAATCCCATCGTCATGCTAGAAAAGTACCGCCAAGATTTTCAATCGTAGCAATTCTTCTACCGTTCAGTCCGGCTTTAGTACTACGATGGTAATTGATGAGCCTCTTGCGCACCAGACTAAATTACCATTCATTTTTTCATTGTATATACCTCAAGAGTTTTGTGCACAATTGTTTGTTCTATACTTCAAAAATCCTTCTAACATACTTTATACTAAATGTCGAGACTTCTCCATCCACCTTCTACACAACACACGTTTACAAGTTCCATTACTACAAGGTGAGGATTTACAAGCTAAGAAGTTGACAAAAGTTCCAGTGAAAGGCTAGAAAGAGCCTATGAGAGATTTATATTCAAATGTGGCAGTTGATTATTATTCCCTATCCGATGATAGAGGCACATGCTATTGAATATTGGTTTGAATTTTTGAATAGGGAATTGAGACATATATTGAGAGATGTTATTTTATTAGATGAAACATCATCAACTTTAGAAATTTTTTTCTTGTTGAGTGTATTAAGCTTAACATGCTAAAGAAGAGAGTGATGACTATTGGGTTTAACAAAGGTATATTTTGAAATAATCTTTTCCATTTTCAAAATATCCACAAGGATAATTTGCTCATCATTAAAACATAAAAAACATAACAGTCAAGACAAACTCATTTTGTACTCAAAAGTACATTCTTGCAATAGCTAATATTTCCTCATAGCCGCACTATCCAAAACTCAACTTCAAAAAATTTCCTTTCAAGAGTTTTAAATCAAACACTATCCTTTGAGCCATAGGTCTCCTAACGGTGCTACCAATCCTAAAAGCAACTTCGATGAAAAACTTCGATGATTGTATCTTCCATTACATGCACACACCTGCCTCAATAATGGTGTGACAAGAAAATAATCACTTTGTTGTTGTGAGAAATATTTGTAGATATATGAAATACAGTATTCAATTGGGACTTCACTTCTTATTAATTATAGTTGTATTTCCAACTAAATGAAAAAATCCATAATAAGAATAAAGGTTATAAATTTTGCTTAACTCTTTCCAACTCTTTTGATACTAATATAGTATATAAGCCAAGAGTGGTTGTAGTAAACTTGTGGGACAGTCTAAATCACTAGGAACAAGTAGTGACATTTTTTTTTCAAGACTGTTGTCATCATTCTTGAGTCAACAAGTTTATGAAATGTATGACATTGGATGGTTCACATCACAAGAAGAGTTTCCTTCAAGTCCACAGAAAGGTTGCTATTGGATCAAAAACATGTGAGCATTGTCATACACATGGTCACATGATTGACTAATGTTTTGATCTCCATTGGAAATTGCTGTTAGCAAGAGTTATCATGATGATTTTTGGAAAAGAACAAGAAGTTAAGATGACATGGATAGTGGTGGTAAACAACCATGCCTTAATCAAATGGTAGTCCATGAAACTAGTCATGAGATCAATATGACATCATAGTAATGAGGTACATAGTTACTTTATCATATGGATTATCAAGGTGATACTATCTACCACCAAGAACTTAGCTCTATCTCAATATTATAAAATCTAAACAAATTATCCACAACTATGTGTATTCCAATCAACCTAGATAAAATAGCTCTAAAAAAATCCATTGATTATTACAAACAAATTTCAACAACCTTTCAAATAGCTTAATAGCTAATATATAAGACCAATTGATACATTACTCTCCCTTTTGTAACAAATATACCAAAAGCATCACTGCATTTTTTTACATTCATCCAAGGGTTGGATTAAAAGTTACAACTAATCAATTTTGGCTATAAATCTATCTTCAACCTTCAATCCTTACTTCAATCAGAAGTTAATATCTGCATATTGGTTTTATAAAATTCATTCAAATTTCATTCATCTATAGAACTTTAATAGTAACTTCTATTCACAATGTTTCATTATCTGATAAAATTCATTCAAATTCCATTCATCTATAGAACTTTAATAGTAACTCCTACTCATAATATTTCATTTTCAGATGAGTTATGAAGGATCATGGAATAATTTTTGTTGAAAATTTGCTATTGTCATCACTTCCATATTTTTACATTTGCACAATTATTATATGTTGTCAACTCCCTCTTATCCTTTGTATTTACATCGAACTTCACAAAATGACAACTTCACTTGAAATCAACTACTGCAATAAATTTTAATCCAATCAATGAATCTTCTATTTGCAATATATGGCTTCTTGTAAAATATTTCTTATCCCAACATCTCTTGAGTTTCATCAATTTTCTTCCACTTAATAAATCCCTATGAAATTTTTTAAGATCATTTCATCACTATTTAGCAACTTTTTTATAAAATTTGAGCTTTATTTGACTCACATCTTTTATTAAACTTGTCAATCTTTTCAATCTAATGATAATACATGTTCTCTCTTATTCAATCTCTCAAAAGAAAACTTTAGGATCCCATGAGTAACTTATTTTGACTTCAAATATCACGAAATTTTACATAAATTTTCTTTTTTCATTAAGAGCTCGTCATTGATATCCTCTCATTTTAAAAATTTCCACGGAAATTTTCACATCTCCTTCTCAACACTTTTCTAGCTCTAGGATAAAAATCTTCATTTTTTTTGTCCTCTTATCATAGAATTTCTGAAGTCAACTCGTTTTGTCCCTTGTATTAGCATATCTTTTTGAGAAGTATATGAAGGATAATAAAATCTCACAAATGTTTTTTATGTGTAATCTATATGGTATTTATATAATAAATGCAAGTGATGATATTGACGTAAACATCATTAGAAGATTGAGTTTTAGACTCTCCAAACTACATCTTAATTACTTATTATACAATTTTTGGTGGGGCAAGTTCACCTTTTTCTACTTATTAAAGATGAAACAATTAAAGTTTCTTAAGTTATGAAGAGTTTTAACCTTTATTCCTAGTTTAGAATTCTTTACTCGGTGGAGAAGAGACTATCACAAGGTGAGGAAAAACAAGCTAAGAGATTTGTAGGACTTAAGTTAAAACTTTTTGAGCCTTTTTTTGTTTTGTGAAATAAAAGATGTCATATTGTTAGGAGTTAACTCAAGTCTTGAGTAACTATGGTTAGTTTGACTATATTTAGTTAGACTAGGGCTAGGGCTGGTACTAATATATAAGAGGGCTAGCATGAGTTCTCTGTAACACAAAATTAGGGTTATTTAGTAAAGTGACTCTGTGTGTTCTGTGGACGTAGCCTCAGTGAGATGAACCACGTATTTCGTGTCTCGTCTGTTGATTGCATGTTGCTTCTGAATGTATTCTTGTCTTTCGGACCTACACAAAGGCATGTTCCTCATCACTTTTGTCAACCATGCATAGGGCAGACGATTCTGGCGGGATATCTCTAACGTATTTACATATGGTCTTGCACAATCAAAACGGTACCCTCAATGAACTGATGTAGAACCGACCAATGTCTATGTAAAAATTGTATAAATACATTTAAATCTATCAGGCTGCTAGTCCGACCTTAGCTCAGTTGGTAGAGCGGGAGACTGTAGTTCGTGAGCAGATATCTCTAGGTCGCTGGTCGAATCCGGCAGGTCGGAAGTTCTGCCCCGCGCGCAGTGACGCTAAACGATTTCCGCCCTGGTTATATTGGGATCTATCTCGGTTAAACCCATTTGATGACATCACCATGAAATATCACTTTATTTGTGAATAAAACCTTTGTATGTAAACGAAATTTTAGATATGTGAACATTAAAGATCATATCACATATGTGTTCACAAAAATATTGTTTAAGTATAAGTTTGAGTTATTAATATTCTAACTAGGTGTACATGCTTTAGACAATGGCATTGCATACATTTATATCAAACTGCATAGTGTATAAGCTTAAGGAGATGGTAGATGTATTTTTTGTATATAGTTATAGTTAGTATTAGTGACATCTATTTTGGCTTTACGTCACATAAGCTGATTATGAATGGGAATGGGTTGATGTGTGGAATCGTCTCTCGGACTCTTTCCGGTGCCAAAGTCGACGAAGTGCACCTCACCAGCAGCCTTTCAAGTTCGTTCGTGTTTCAAAACGCGACAAGAACAATTGGTGGTGACGTCCATGGCTGATGGCAGCGTGACTCTGTACGCGGTACCCGGCAATGTCCGCGGTAGATCGCCGCTTCACCGATCTGGTCTCACACTCAGAATAATACCACTGGCACGGCCCACCTTCTAAGCAATATGCTCGTCCGACACAAAACGAAGTGGCTCATGTAACACAATCCTGCTATAATCGGAATGACAGATTCTTTTACAAGCATTTCTTTTCTTCGCTCTTCCTCTTCTCAAATCTGTCCTGCATGTCTTCATAATGTTAAACAATGGTTCCATCCTTGTACGCTTTGATGGGGTCTTCCCATCGCTTTTGTTATTATACTTTGTCCTCTTGTGATATAGACCATAAAAACAAGGGTAACTTTCCAATACATGTTCCAACCCAAATGTATGGTACCATCCTTTTTGTTATTTTACTCTATTCTCTCTGAGTGTATGTTCCATTTTCCACGAAAAGAAACAGGAGCCGTTCAACGGTCAACAAAAGCCACTGCTAGAGACGAGTGGGCTTTCCTCTAAGTGGTATTAGCGGACGCCTTTGTTCGAGGACGGATATGTGTTGGTGAGATCTATGAGGAAGAATCATTTGATACTGATTGGCGATTTCTGTGAAGCCAACCAAAGGACAGTCAAAGCCCATAGATCGCAACCGAAATATTGCAACACATGAAGACTAATTACCTAAACCACGAGGTTTTCACATAATTGGAGGCCCGCCGATGCTGACTTGACCCCTGACTACTCAATGCCCCGTATCGTCGACGATAATCGGCATCTTAAACAATGTCTTGCTGTGCAGAAGTCGTAATTTGCGTAGACAAGAAATCCGAATCCATGGAAACTATAACAATTTCAGATATCCTACCTATCTAAGTCACAGCGTCTACAAACAACTTAGTATAAGAAGAACCATCACATGTATTTAAGTACGAGGAAATAGAAAACAAAGTTTTTAAACACGACTTTCACCAATCCAAGAAGTAACTTCTTTTCTTGGAGAAGAATTTGGTTTATATGCAGATCCGTGACTCTGATAGGTTCAGAGGCCTGAGACTCCGACTGTTGAGCCGTGCAAGATCGTAACCCCAACTGATATGAGGTATGAGTACGGTAGAAAAGGTAGATACAGTATGCCATGATGCTCTTGATCCTCGGATGCCCCTTGCAGGTGCTTCTGCAGATTTCTACTGTGCGTAAACTGTCTTTATTTCCGTTAAACGCATGGAACACGCTTGTACATTGAAAATGGGGCCAGAACGGCAGGTTGCGGTGGGTTACCGGCCTTACGTGGCATTACGTTTCTGTAAGCAGAGAGCTTCGGGCATTATTGTTGTAAGTTGGTAATATGTAAAGTCGTAGAATGGAAGAGATATCATCTAGTGAAATTGGTTAGATATCAAGGTAGGGATATATGAACATAGATATGTACAGTAACACCACATTTTTTATATTGTTACCTCATTATACGCACGAGGGGGGTGTAACTCGCATCTCTCCTCAATAGCATGGCAATAAAAAATGGGTTTCAAACCACATATTGTACTCAATAACTCAATAAAAACTGCCATGAAACTACATTCCTCTGTATGCCCCTGAATAAACTTGTTGTCCTGAACAAGCTCATGCATGTAAATCGTCAAGTCTAAACACTCTCTTATGCAAATCACATCAAAGTGTTAGGAGTTAACTCACGTCTTGAGTAACTCTGGTTAGTTTGACTATATTTAGTTAGACTAGGGCTAGGGCTGGTACTGGTATATAAGAGTGCTGGCAGGAGCTCTCTGTAACACAAAATTAGGGTTATTTAGTAAAGTGACTCTGTGTGTTCTGTGGACGTAGCCTCAATGAGATGAACCACGTATTTCGTGTCTCGTATGTTGATTGCATGTTGCTTATGAATGTATTCCTGTCTTTTGGACCTACAATTGGTATCAGAGCAAGGTTTGGAGGCGTGGAAGGAAGTGTGTGCATGCAAATTTCTAACCGGAAGTGGCAAGATTCACAAGTGGATGGGGAGTGTGCTGAGGTTCGATCGTTTGTCCTGGTGGATGGTGGTGCTAGCCCTACTGGGGCAGAAAATTGTGCGCATCTCAGACCTGGTAGTTGCAGTGTCTGCCGAATTTGAGGTTTCGGTGATGAGCTCGAAAAGATTGAGGAGGATTTGGGCGATTTGTTTGTGGTACCGCCTCCCGTGTTGAAGGAACCTGGCTTCCAGAACGATCAGGCCCGCCGTCCGAGGTGGAGCAAATGCTTGATTGTGAGCCGTAGGCAAAAGCAGACGGATGGACGGACAGAAGGAGCGACGAGAGCAAGAGCAAGAGAGAGCGCTCGCTACGTAGTTCTGGACTTACAATAGAAGCATTGTCGTCTGGTGCTGTGTGGAGTTTGAGAAGAGTATGTCTCTTTTTTCCATGATTCCACGAAGAAGACGGTATTCGAACGTTGGTTGATTGTCTGTTCCAAAAATTTCAAGGGGAGGTCGTATACCGAGACATGCTTTTGCGATGCTATTCCTAGTTCGGGCTGCGCACAATGAAGAGTAGCTTGCATGATCGACAAGCAAAGTTTTGGAAGCTGAAAACAAGTTGCCCTGTCATGATGCCATGTCAATGATCATAGAGTGCAGAACAGGCGTAATTTGCGAATTATACATTGTCATGGCATTTTTGCTATCGGGAACGAAGCTCAAAACTGATCCGGTGACTAGAACTGGCACTCTTGAATATTCAGGTTTCGAAGTGGATGCACCCTCTCAATTTGATCCACAATTGAAAGACGAGATTGGAGTGGATAGACAAATCGTTCCGAGTTTGTACGAATTGGTCCATGCCGATTCATTCCTAGCTGCAATCCCATCTCAGAACTTGAGTGGCTTCTTTGGCACCACGTACGAGTAAGCTTCATAATTGATGGTTTGCCCGAGCACACGGCTCGTGATGAGATCTACCAGTAGTCGGTCCGGGGACACGGTCTCCTTGCTAATCTGATACTTCTTCACCCACGGTGTAAAGTCGGGATCAGCCACTAGCTTGTTCTCTATTTCCGCTTGGTTTGGTCCCAGAAAAGCAGACAGCACTGCAATCTGCTGAGGCTTGATTCCCAATTGGCCAAACCTTTCCTTGATCTCTTGAGGTGATGCGTCCTGCCATATGAGAACTCTACCATTGGGATCTGTCTCGGAAGCTGACGAGCGGCCGAACAGCTTGTCGAATTGACCCCAATGCCCGTTGGATCCGTACGCATGGTACAGCTGTAATCCTTTCTGAGCGTTCTAGGAGAATACCCCGAGGCAACAGAATATGAGGTTAAAGTCAGCGCTAGGTTGTAGTGAGGGTAATATTTGAGAGGTTCAAGAGATACAGATTCTCTTCGTTTCTGCTCATCAGCATGGAAGTATGAAGAAGAAGTGTCTGGGGAAAGATAAACAATATTCATGGTTGAAGCCCATGCCTTTTTAGCCACTGTTGGATAGGAGTACTGGTGGGAAGCTCTCAAAGTGGTGGAAAGTAGGCCTTAAGAAGTTTAGAGGAAGCTGGCGGAAAACGTCTTTGGATACGGGAGGGGAAAGAGATCAGTCAGCTCAAAGATTTGATGTTGAGTCAAGAATGTTTGAAAGCAACAATCTTTCAACGATTGGAATCCATTGCAAGAGCCTCGCATATACTTCAAGTATGGCAGCGTTTCCACAACCTGCAACCGTTGAAGACAATGGCGTTCAAAAGTTCTTCTGGAAAGGCAAACAGGCTGAAAAAATTATCTCCACTTCAAAATCTGGAAGTCTGAGGTATCGCAGATTCCTTTCAACAAGCAGAGGAGCGGTATCCCTTGTGGTTTAAGGGATTTTGAACAAGGGTAAATTTACTTTATTCTCATATGAGTGGGAAGAAGTCAAGTTTGGAGGTTCCTTTTGACAACCGAACAACACAAGGGAAGAGTTCAGCACCTAGACGAAGCGAGATGGCAGTCATGAAGACAAGAGGAACCGGATTTGACATTGTCAAATATGATATGCGTGGTGACTATCTTCTGTGGGAGAGGTAAGTCAAAGGCAAGTTGAAGGCTTCCGGTTTCGGCAAGTCATTGAGGCCTAAACCCTCTACATTCGATGATGAAGACTTGAAGGACCTTCAAGAGCAAGTAGTGAGTATTGTTATACTCCATTTACAACCTTCAGTTCTGAAACAAGTTGATAAGTATGACAATTGTACGTTGTTGTTTGAGGCTCTTCAGCGACGGTTTCATCTCAAAGAGTTGTCAAACAGGTTGTATACCTCCTTGAAACTGATGAGCTTCAAGATGAAAGATGTAGGTACGAAGATCCAAGATCACATTGATGCCTTTGGTGATCTTGTTATTGATCTTTAGAATCTGGGAGAGGAGATAACTGATGAGAGGAAGGCCCTTCATCTGTTAAGTTCATTACCTGCATCATATGGGGTCATTGTCACGAGTGTTACTCCATCGTGATAGACAAACGATCACTTACAATGAGGTTGTAAGTGCT